TAATCCCCTACACAAGATGTATTCTAAGCAGCTACTGAAAATCAGACTCAATCACATTGTGGTTTAATGAAAAACTTAAAAAACAACTAATACTTCCAGTGGTCCCCAACGTGGTGCCTGCGGGCGCCATGGCACCCACCGGGGCATCTATGTGTGCCCACCTAGTGACCAGGGCCGGCCCGAGCCATTCTTGTGCTCCGGGCACCCGGCACATGTGCGGCCCCCCTGCCCCGGGCGTGTGGTGCATACATGGTGCTGCCCCCGGGCGCCCGGCAGTCCCAAAAGGTTGGGGACCACTGACTTGGACTATTTGTTGTTTTTTAAGTTTTTCCTGTGTGATGTAGTGTTAGTACCTTGCTGGTTGCTAGGCTTGGGGTATGGGTGACCCCCACTGGCTGCTGTCTGTACCACGGCCCAGCCAAGTAGCTGATGGGACAGGAAGGTAACCTGTTCTACCAGTTACCCCCCAGGGAGAGGAAAAAAGGAAGGTGGAATGCCGCCCCTGGCTGGGGGGCAGGGCTGGAAGGGACGGTAGTTAGTTTTCTGTCTGGGAAGCAGGAGAGAAGGAGCTAGGGAGGGGGCTGGGATTGTAGGGCCCAGCCACCCCCCATCTCAAGAGGGGGGCACTGAGGCCTCTTAGCCCCAGTTCCTGTAACCAGATGACATCTGTGCTGTGCTGTATCCTGGAGAAGCAATAAACTCCCTCTGTTCTACTGGCTGGTGGAGTCTGTTCATGCCATTACAGGGGTGCAGGAGACGGGAAACCCCAACACACCGTCACATCCTGTTACAGACTAACTCTGCTACCCCTCTGAAGATTGCGGTTTAATGTTATTCATAACATAGGGAAGCAGCCACTGGGAACTGTATTGAGATCATCCAACTCAGGGCTCACCAACTAGTAGATCAGGATCTATCAGTAGATCTTAGAGCCTCTGACGGGGGATCCTGACGGGTTTGCCCGCACTTCAGCTGCTCCTCCCCACGCTGCTGCACATCTCTTGCCCTTTGCCTTGGAGCTGCCTCCTGCTTTCTGTGCAGGGCAGAGAGAGGAGGGGGTGCTGGTGTCAAGGTGTCCCCTCCCACTCTGTATCCTTTCTCCAAAAGCAGACAGGGGGCACAGCAGGACTTGGGATGGAGTTTGGTAGCTGCTTTATGGAGTGGGCCAGGGCAGGGGTGAGCCTGCCACCTTAGCCCCACTGCACCACCAACCAGGAGCCACCTGAGGTAAGCATTGCCCAGCTGGAGCCCACATCCCAAACTCCTACGCCAGTCACAAATCCCTTCCTGCGCCCCAAAACCCTGTTCCAGCCCTGAGCATCCTTGCATCTAATTGCCCTCCCAGAGCCTAGAACCTCCTACATCCCAACTCTCTGCCCCAACAGCAGCTCAGAGCCCCTCTCACACTCCAGATCCCTTAATCCAAGACCATAGCCTACACCTCAACCCTCTGCCCCAGCCTGATGAAAGTGAGTGAGGATGGACAAGAGAAAGAGGATGGAGTGGGCAGGGCCTCAGAGAAGGAGTGGGAGGGAGGTGGGGCAAGGGTATTTATACTTGAGGTAGATCTTGGATTGAACTTAAATTCAAAAAGTGATTCCGTGCTTAAATAGGTGAGAGACCACTGATCTAGTAGAGGAGGTTTGTGATGGATTCCCCCATGCTTTATGAAATGGACTCATGGACACGAATATACATAACTCAAAGGTGGTTTGAGCGAATTATTTCAATGCAGGGCTCGACAAATAATACAATCTACTTGCCCATGGTGAGTAGATTGCAACCCGGAAGAGCCAGGTTCGGGTGATCTGCACATGCGGTTCGGCGAGCCCTGTTTCCATGTAACCCATCGATCTTCATGTCATGATCTGCTGTGTTGAAGGGGAAACTAAGGCACATCCCCTCACTGATTTGCTGGCTGAATGCCAACTAGGGGCCACAATAGAAAATGTGGAAATCTGAAATGGGTTGACTACCACTGAGAAGGGAGAGGTGCTCGCAGTGCTGCAAACGTTTAGTGGGGTATTCTCCAATAAACCAGGGAAAACACACATCCTTTCCCATAAAATCCTCACCAAAGGCATGCAACCACCTCCTTCCAGGCTGTACAGAGCCACCAGCAAGATAAAGGAGCAGATCCATGCTGAGATACTGAGCATGTTAGATCTGGGGGTAATCAAAGAGTCTGGTAGCTCGTGGGCCTCCCTGCTGGACATGGTCCCCAAGAGGGAGGGCACCATAAGGTTTTACGTAGACTATAGGAAGCTTAATGCTGTTACCATAACAGATATGTATCCCATGCCCAGAACTGATGACATGCTAGACATGCTAAGCCAGGCCAAGTACCTTAGCACTTTTGATTTAACCAAGGGATACTGGCAAATTCCTCTGGAGGGGGAACCACAACAGAAATCTGCCTTCAGCACTGACTCAGGGCTCTATGAGTTCACAGTGTTACCTTTTGGCTTGGTAAATGCTGGGACAACTTTCCAGAGACTGGTCAACAAGGTGTTGAGTGGTTTGCACAGCTTTGCAAGGGCTTATACAGATGACATTGCTGTGTTCAGCAACACCTGGGAGGACAACAAGGAGCACCTACTCCTGACTTAAAGAGGCAGGTCTGACCATAAAACCCTCCAAGTGTAAGATAGGGGCAGCCAAGGTCCCTTATCTAGGACATTGGGGGGGGGCGAAGAAATGTCACCTGACCCAATTAAGGTGGAAGCCATCGTTAACTGGCTAGTACCTCAGAGTAAGAAACGGATCCAATTCTTCATAGGCATGGTGAATTATTACAGGCAGTTTGTGGGCGGGTTCAGCGACATCATAGCCCCCATCACGGACCTGTGCAAGAAGCATCAACCTACTAAGGTGGTTTGGTCAGAGGCCTGCCAGAAGGGCTTTGATGAGGTGAAAGTGCTCCTGTCAGCAAAGCCTGTACTAGCCAGCCCTGATTTTGATAAGACATTTGAATTGTGCACTGATGCATCTGACAGTGGCTTGGGGGCAGTGCTTATGCAGACAGGGAAGGATAACAAGAAGCACCCTGTTGCCTTTCTAAGTAAAAGCTGTCCCCTACTGAACAAAACTACTCCGTCATAGAAGAAGAGTGTCACGCCATAGTGTGGGCGGTCAAACAGTTGAGACCCTACCTCTTCAACAGGAGATTTAGAATTTTTACAGACCATTCACCACTGATATGGCTGAACAGAACCAGGAGCACAACCTCGAAACTGCTGCGTTGGAGTCTGATTCTACAGGAGTTTGACATGGAGATCGTGCACATAAAAGGCAAGGAAAACACGGTGGCAGACGCCCTGTCCAGGAAAGGGGATGTAGGAGACACTACCTCTGCACTGAACACTGTCCAACCCTCCAGCAGTAGTTTCATGGGAAGGTGTGACGGATTCCCCCATGCTTTATGAAATGGACTCATGGACACGAATATATATAACTCAAAAGTGGTGTGAGCAAATTATTTCATGCAACCCATCGATCTTCATGTCAAGATCTGCTGGTACTGTTTATCTTACTCTGTTGTATGTATCATTTGTGTGTGTAAAATTAGACACAGGGAGTGAGGAATAATTTGTGAGTTTCCAATGTGTGAATGGGAGACATGGAGGGTGTTACCTGCAACTTCTAGATGAGCCACTGTTAAACACTCTTTTGTCCTTAAGTCTGAGCAGTGGTTGGTAGGGAGTGGCATCAATTCCTTAACAAAAGGGACAGGAAAGTAGAGGACTGGGTCTTTTGGCTGGGCTGTACCTGGAGGAAGGATCCTGAGACCCCAGGGTGGGGAAGACAGCCCTGGTTTAGAGTGGCAGGTGGAAAAGTTTGCACTGAGGTTTCAGTGGAGAATTAGCCAAGCTGTTTTGTTTCTTTTGATTTGTAACCTACTTTGCTCTGCCTCCTCTCTCTTATTACTACTTAAATCCTACTGCTTCAACTTAATAAAACCATTTTTATTTTCTATCAAACCGAGTGTAAGCGACTGTTACCTGGGGGGGGCAACCAGTGTGCACATCCCCCCTTTCATTGCTAAAGGGGGCTTACCTAATTCTTTGGGGTTTGATCCCATCTGGGGAGTGCTCTCTGAGGAGGCTGGGCCCTAAACTGCACTCTCCTTGGATCTGAAGTGGTTCAGTGTCTGTACTGCTTTTCCATAGGGGCAGGGAGCTCAGCTCAGGGCCTTGGCTAGGGGAGACCAGAGGAACTGGCCCAGCAGGACTGGGCAGTGAGGAGCCCCAGAGAGCAGGAAGGCGAGTGGCAGTGGCCGTGTCAGCACCCCGGGAGGCACCCCCGAGGGGTCGTCTGTGACGGCACCCCGTCACAAGGTTACTTTCTGTAGTTTCTTCATGATGTGTGGCCCCTAACTGGATTCTAAATATGAGTGTGCATGGCACCAGGTGCCAGAACTGTTCATAGGAGAGACCGTTGGCCCGCACATGCATTGTGCACCAGCTGTATGGTGCATGTGAAGCTTTAGGAGGCAACATAGGTTGATGCTGCGCCAGTTCCCCTCTTATGAGTTAGTAGAGGAGTTGGTGACTAAGGGGAAGGAGGTCAGGATTAGAATTCAGAGAAGGATCACATATCTCAATCTCCAGTTACAGCATGCAGCCTCCTCTTCAGAGGTACCAGTTAGATAGTGTGGAGGGGCTCTAACCCTCCCCTCCTCCCAAGTATGAACCCCTGAATTTCAAACTTGACGTCTGCTTAAAGTGCATGCCCTGACCCCCGACAAAGCTCTTAACTGAAGCAGAGCTTGTGCTGCTCCCAGTTTTGCCTTGAGGGGTAGGGAGTTTATTTATAAATAGAGGGAGTCAGAGTAATTAAGATAACAAAAGGCTTGCCATTACATTAATTGAAGGATCACTAGATGATCATGAAAACATTTTCAGGCACTCCACTTAAAAGATAGGAAACAAAGGGTAGGAATAAATCGTGAGGATGGAGGGAATTAACTAGGTAACCTGTTCCAGTGCTTCTTCACCCTCTAGGGAAACTTTTTCCTAATATCCAACCTAGACCTCCCCCACTGTAACTTGAGACCACACTGCTCCTCGTTCTGCTATCCACCACCACTGAGAACAGCCTCTCTCTATCCTCTTTGGAACCCCCCTTTAGGAAGTTGAAGGCTGCTGTCAAATCCCCCCTCACTCTTCTCTTCTGCAGACTAAACAAACCTAAATCCCTCCACCTCTCCTCCTAGGCCTCCTAATCGTTTTGGTCACCCTCTGCTGGATTCTCCAATGCATCCACATCCTTTCTATAGTGTGGGCCCAGAACTGGACACAATACTCCAGATGCGGCCTCACCAGAGCCAAATAAAGGGGAATAATGACATCTCTGGATCTGCTGGCAATGCTCCTCTTAATGCAACCTAATATGCCATTAGCCTTCTTGGCTACAAGGGTGCCCTGTTGACTCATATCCAGCTCCTCATCCACTGTAACCCCCAGGTCCTTTTCTGCTGAACTATTACTTAGCCATTCAGTCCCCAGCCTGTAACAATGTTTGAGATTCTTCCTCCATCCCAAGTGCAGGACTCTACACTTGTCCTTGTTGAACCTCATCAGATTTCTTTTGGCCCAATCCTCTAACCTGTTCAGGTCACTCTGTACCCTATCCCTGCCCTCCAACATATCTACCTCTCCCCCCAGCTCAGTGTCATCTGCGAACTTGCTGAGGGTGCAATCCATCCCCTCATCCAGGTCATTCATAAAGATGTTGAACAAAACCGGTCCTAGAACAGATCCTCGGGGCACCCCGCTAGTGTTAACTGGTTAAACTGGGGGCTGCTCCTGCCCGCATTGGTTAACCCTTTGCATCCCTGCCAGCACAGCTGTGACCTGCTTGGTGCAGGAGCGTAGGGTCATGCGGGGCATGGGTGGAGGGTTGAGACTCCTAGCCTGAAAGACTGACAGGGAATGCGGGAGTCCCGGCCCACAG